TCATTGCAAGAGCAATGAGGAATTGTGTGTGGTGTCCGGTGCACCAGTTCTGGACAGTGGAAGAGATTTATACTCAATAGTGGTTCATAAATTACATGTCCCAGCTATCCAGAAATAAATCAAATTGTTCTTCATTGTTTAAAGATAAAGACAATTGCTTTCTATTTTATTTAAAAACCAATTAAAACATTTTATTCTCTAAATAAACAGTTTTTGACTCTCTACAATTTATTTTTTGTAATTAATATTAACCTTTCTTAGTTGAGTACTGTAACTGGGCAGGCTGCCTATCTTGTGCTCCGTCATGGCTTGGGGTGATGCTATAGCCTGCCTCCTTGGACTGTTTAAATAAAACTTCCGTTTTTTTCTTGGTCAAAAAAGCCATCCTTGGGGACTGGGTTTATTAGTCTAAAGTAAACTGCAAATAAAACTCAAAATTCCAAAACAATCCCATTTCTAAATCTATTCAACACAAAGTTTCTCTTCCTCCTCCCAGGCATTCCTGTCTAGGGCCTTTGTAGTCCCTCCCCTGCTTGATCAGGGTCTTGCCCAGGCCTGGAAACCTGGAAAGGTTTCCTTGTTTTGACAGGCCACTTCCAAGCCCTGCCTTGCCAGAGTCTCAGTCCTAACCAGAGTTGCCAAGTCAGTCACTCTCTCACCCACCCACCCACCCCCTTTCAAAACAAGTCCAACCCATTTCAGAGGGGGTGGAGAGTGTTCATACAGATTCCAGGATTTTTTTTAGTAATAATGTAAATACGCACAAATGTATTTTAATAATTTTAATGTGTAACTTAATGTTGTATGCAGCAAAACTAGGACTAGAAATAAAAAAGGGGTAGGGGAGTGGGACTTGCATGCAGGGCTTTGGAGCAGAGCCTGGAGCTGGAGCATGGAGCAGCTCCGGAGCAGTAGGTTTTTGCCCGGAGCTGGAGCGGAGCCGGAGCACAGCTCCAAAGCCCTGCTTGCATGCAGCATCTGCCCCCCCACCCACTCTGCAAGGAGAGTGAGGGGTTTCAGTGCACTTTCCTTGCTGCAGCATCCCACTCTGGGGGGCTGTGGCTCCCCCCTCCAGCTAGGTTTCACTGCCTCCTCCCCCCCACACACACACTAATTTACCTGGACTGGGACTGCACCCCTTAGCCCCTCCACTCACTCCTGCTCCTCACAGTCACAGACTGACCGGGACCAGGTACACCAACTGTTTTGTGTGTGTGACTGCTTGAAATTCAGACTTCAGAGCCACACACAAACACAGGGAGATTGGGATATGCCCTGCACCTCCCCTCCTGAGATGCCTGGCAGGAAAAGCTCTCTAGAACACTGAGCTTTTTATATTCGCCATGCAGGTTCCCCAGGAGGCTGGAAGCGGTATCTGCTACTCAGCTTCCCACCTTCATCAGTATCTCCCTGGAGTCCAAGGAAAATTACTGATGACTCTCTGCTAGAACCTGCTCATTCCTAGGAGCCTCTAATCCCTGAGTATTTCCTCCCTCATTGCAGCCTCCTGCCCTTAATAGGGCAATAACCCTAATCTCTCCCAAATCTGACTCATTCTGTAATCAAGGTTGACTAGCCCCAGCCCTCCAGTCTTTAAGGGGTGAGCCACCCAAGTATAGTATACGTACATAAAATAAGATGCAGTCCTTTCAGTCCTTGCTCCAAGGAACTTGCAATCTAGGTCATGCACAATTTAGATACACAGACTGCATCAGGTAATTGGTACATGTTTAAGGAGTTAGAGAAATCTTGCAGTGGTCACTGTTGAAAAGCTTCATGAAGTTGATTTTCTGAGTAGATGAGGATGATGAAATCAATGGGACAACTTGTATAAGAAAAGCGATCTAGATTTCCTCAATAGCCCACCCCTTTCTCTTTGTTTCTGCCATTAAAACACACCTTCACTCTCCTCCTGTGGCATAATTCTCTATGGTGTATGCAGTGTTGTAGCCTTTGAGTCCCAGGATATTAGAGAGACAGTGAGGGTGAGATAATATCTTTTCCCAGGATATTAGAGAGACAGTGAGGGTGAGATAATATCTTTTACTGGATATCTTTTATCTTGTGTTGGTGAGAGAGACAAGCTTTCAAGCTACACAGAGATCTTTGAAGACCTGATACCAAGGGGTCTGACTTGCAGAAGTTCTCAGCACTGATAGCTGCAACTGAAGTCAAGGGGACTTGGGACATGTGTTTTGAACACAAAGTGCTATATAATCAGTACTAAGTTTACAGTGGTGCCATGGCACCAGGCCCACGATGCACCCCAAGCTGCTGGCTCCTCTCCACCCCCTGGCCCTTCCCCCCTTTCCCCACACTGTTCACTTCTCTCAGCCAGCTGAGGGATGGGTGCCTCTCCACCCCCAGCACTGCCAGGGACAGGGGCAGAGAAGATCCCTCAGTCGCTGTTGCTCCAGGCCGGTGACCATCCGCTTCAGGCTTGCCGGGGCCCACCTCTCCCTGCCACTCTCTGGAAGTGACAGGCTGGAGAAGTGGGCAGCTGCCCTCCACCACCCCTGCAAGGAAATGCCTCTATGCTATGGGCACCACCAGTGCCAGGCAGGCAGGGCTGGATGGGGCCCCTCTGTGCTCCTGAGTTTCAGCTGTCCTGCCCCCTAGCACTGAGCTGGGAGGGGGGATCCCTGCTCTGAGCTGGTTCAGAAGGGCTGGTGAGTATGGTTGGGGGGCAGGGTGTGGGGAAGTGGGTCTCTGGGGGGTGCTGGGCAGTGGGGGAGGTTTGTGCATGTTGGGATGATAGGCAGTGGGGGGGTCTGTTTGGGGCATTGTGGTGGTGGGGCTGTGGGAAAGGGCGCTGTCGGTGGGAGATGTGTGTGTTGGGGTGCTAGGGAGTGGGGGTTCTGTGTGGTGTGCTGGGCATTGTGGTGGGGATGTGAGCGGGTCTGTGTGGGGGGTGCTGGGCATAGAGAGTCGGGGGTGTTGGGGAGAGGGCCGTGTGGCATGGCATAGGCCCGCCCCCAAGGGGAAGGGGCATGCTGGCAGCGGGCCACTGTGTGTCTGGCAACTGCCGGTTTGTAAACAGTGCCCTCGCACTGGGCTGGGCAGAGTGAGGGCACCCCTGCCATGCCCCATTGCCCCTGGCTGGCCCCTCACTCCAGGAACCAACCTCCCCCCACGCCATGTTGCATTGCCCCTATGGGGGTCCACAAATATGTTTGGTGCTAGGCTGACAAAAGGTTAAGCCAGCCCTGTATATAATGCTAAATTCTCCAGTTCTTGTTATCTCAAATTGGGCACCCAAAATTAATGCACATTTTTTACCTTAAACTCTGTGCCACAGCTCCTGTGATGGGGTGAGATTCCCCCTCCCCCTCATAGTCCTGCAAGAGTAGACTTGGGCTAGGTGGCTCCAATCAGTTAATTAGGTTTCATACTGGAGCTTTTGGCTGGAGGCAGCTAATTAGGAACAGGCTCACCTGTGCAGGAAGCTGTCTACAGATAGGGGCAGCTGCCGAGAAAGGGGAGAAACTCCCTGGGAAAAGGGAGAGTGTTTGGGGGCTGCTGAGAAAGGCAGGCAGTAGTTATTCCCTGGGAAGAGGGAGGAGGATTCTTGAAGGATTCTTGGAGCTTGAGGGAGTGGAACTGGGGCAGTGAATGGGAAGATTGCCTAGGACTGTTAATGGGTTGAAACCCAGAAGGGGGAACACTGAGTGACCTAGCCAGAGGGCTTAATCACAAAGAGGATGCTGTGTGTCCTGCAGTGAGAGGAGCTGCAGCCTGGAGGCAGAGTGATGGTATGCAAGCTACGGACAAGGGTGTTGGCCTTAAGAGCTAATCCCCAGAAATGATGAGATGGAGGTGCCAGACCAGTGATAAGTAGCGCAACTGTGACAGCTCCTCCTCTCTAAAATGGGGATAGTACACTTTCACCTTACAGGAGTATTGTGAAAATAAATTAATGCTTGTAAAGCATTCAGATACTATAGTGGTGAAAGTGCAGTTTTTGCATCTTTCTTGTACAAATGTCTATTGGGTCCAGATATTTTTGGTGGAACAGTAGAAGCAACACTTTCTCTCCATTTTGATGGTGCACTTTCTGGAGCCAAAACTGGTAAGGCTTTAGGGTCCAGATGCTTTATCCAAGATTTTGTGGCACTATTGCTGTGAGTTGCATCAGAGTCTGGATTTTTTTAGTCACTCCTAAGCCTCAACATGTTTTCTACCTAGGCAGTGGAATTTGCGGGAGAGGGACTGAGAAGGATCCAATGCGTATCAGGTGCTGGATCTGGGTTTTGCTCTGCTGTTGCACCTAGCTGTGTTGGTGTCCACATTTTTTTTTTTTTTTTTTTTTTGGTAAATAGCAAAGGCTAATCATGTTCTCTGTTTAGGCAGTGGAATTTGAAGAGTAGGTGCCAGATTTTTGGGGTGACAGGCCTCCGGGGCCAAGATTTCTGTTCAGTTGAATTGGGATGCTTTGGTATCTGTGTTTCATTGCTGGAGTAGAAGCAGCTAAACTTGTTGTCTACTTAAGCAGGCCAGAACCGGGTTTTTGTTGTGCTAGTGCACCAGAACCAATCAGTGGTCAGAATTGGTTTATTTGTGCAGTAGAAGCAGCTAGACCAGTGGTTCTCAAACTTTTGTACTGGTGACCACTTTAACACAGGGTTCTGAGTGCGTCCCCCACCCCCATGAATTAAAATCCCTTTTTAAAATATTTAACACTATTATAAATGCTGGAGTGAAGTGTGGGGTGGAGGCTGACAGCTCGTAACCCCCCATGTAATAACCTCGTGACCCCCAGTTTGAGAACCCCTGAGTTAGACATTTCTGTTTACGCAATGGAATTTGGAGGCTTGGGTACAAATATCACCGGGATCCAGGTGGAATCCAGCTTTTACCTTTTTCCCCAGTAGGAGCAGTTCTGTACAATTTGGCAGGGTTCAACTTTTACCCAAACTCTCCCATTTGGCGAGGCAGCGGGAGCGTGCCTTCTCTTGTTGCCCAACTTGGGTCTGGCGGGTTGCAGGGAGCATGTGATCACTGGAGTGACTGAGCTTGCATTGCCATGGTGTGGCAGCCGCGGGGAGAGCAATGGAGGCTGCTTGAGAGACAGGCTGGGCGGCTGCTGCTGCATCCATCGCAAAAGGAAACCACCCCACACTACATCGCTGCTCACCAAACGGAGGAGTGAAAGAGGTAGGACGTTCCTGTTTCCCTAACAAATGTTATTTCAGCGTAAATGGCAGCAGTTAGGTTTTCCCCACACGGAAAGCTGTAGCACTGTACTATGCTTCCTCGCATCCTGACCTTGTCTCTCACTCATTAGCATCTCTTTGCTTCTACTCAACGATTCTTGCTTGTCAGGGCTATTTGATGTTCAGGGCTATTTTCTATTGTTAGACATGGCTAGTCTTTCCTTGAAGATTATTAAAGGACATGTGTGTGTGATTGTTTGTTGTGAGCCTGGGATTAGCATCAGTTTTGCTATCTGTGATATTTCCCTGTTAATATCAATGAAAGAAATTGCGAAGATTATGTGCACTAGTAACAGTTGGATGCACAATGAATAGATCAGAAAAAAGAGCATGTAAGCAGTATCTCCTACTATAAAACTGTCTTTGTTAAATAAAAAATTAGGAATGTCTGAGTGTGTTCGTTGAAGGTGCTACTTCGTTGCTTTCTGAGAATTTAATAGCTGGATTGGCTCTTTTAAATTTATTCTATATTTTCCTTTGTTAGCATTTCCCAGAAGAATCCTGTATTCATTTTCCTTTGCTGAAAAGCAAGAGGTCTCAGAAACATGACTTTTGTTCCACACTATCACCTTCAAGAGCTACATTGCTTTGTTTAACCTCCTCTAAACCATTTATCACGAACCTCTGCCGTCATATTGTAATGAGTTATGAAATCTGCTGGTTTTCATGATTAAAATATATAATCCATGGTTTATGGTTTTTACCTTTTCCATAAGAACTGGAATAGGTAAACTAAAGATTATGATGTCTTGGATGTAAAATTGGTTTTCATCTGTTTTCTTACACAATTTCTTCAGTTTAATCATTTCTCATCTGTTGGGGGGAGGGGGCGAATGAACCACCCATGCAAATTGTTGCCTTATAACGTTAGCAGATCTCCAGTGAATGCTGTCATTTTATTTTGACCAATTTTGCTAATATTAAGATTCACAACAGAAGAATAAAAATGTGTATTTTGTAGAAGTTTGCAGAATATTTTTATTAATGTTTCTGCTCTGGCTTTTTAAATATAAAATGCCTAATTTTAAAAACACAGTTCAGAGGGTTAAAGAGAACCTAGAAACCACACCATGCATCCTGAAAATTTAATGTGCTTGACAATAATGGCACTGAAACTGATCTGCTAGTAGGTGTGTGTGGTGGGGGGGGGGGGAGTTACCCTTTTCTGTGCTAAGTGCTATTTATAACTAATGGTGTATAATAAATATTCTGTAGCTAATTTTCTATTAATTTAGTTGTCAGCTTGATCAATGTATGCTTCATAAATGGTGTATTATTATAAAAATAGGTAGCTGTTGTCTTACATTGGTATTGTGTGCATTTTGGGGACCTAGTGCCATTTATTTAATTAGACTAAAAATAATAGTGGTCATAGTTGAATTTCACTTAATGTTTAGTAATTAAAATGTAGAAATTATCACTACCAAATAATGCTAGATACCCCATAAAAAGGCATCAAATTATTTAGCTATTTCTGAACATTAAATTAGGCAACAAACTAACAATACAATCTTATTTAATGAAGAAAATTACACATTGGATATATAAGAAATGTATCAGTTATACATATAACTCCACTTTAGACAGTTTTAATCCAGTTCAGGAATTTAAGCAAAATATTTATTAAATCCAACTTTCATTGTTAAACTTATTCAATCAAAGGCTCTTTCTTGGTCTTATATTTCATTATAATAATGAGTTTAAAATATAGGACTGTATCTGTGAAGTGTGTGGAAACAATAAGCAACCTATACTCGCACATTTCAAGATTTTAAAGATAGCTATAAAGATTCTAAAAATGGATACTAACCAAAGAGATTCCTACTATTTGTTGTTACTTACCGTATAAGTTACTGTGTCTCAGCACATCCTTTTTTAATTAAGCACACTTTCAAAGGGCCATCTACCATGAATGTAAATATGCAGTATTTGGAAACTCTGTTTGCATATATAAGACAAATTTACATTTTAGTAACTCTCTCTTCAGTTGTGAGCATATTTGTATACTTTGTATGCTGTATAATAATTGTTTAAATAGCACTGGCAGCAAATGGTAATGGAATAGCGCTCACTATTTGTATGAATTATTAATGTTTCCATAATATTCTCATGTTAAGGAAAACATTACAAATATTTTAAAATTGAATCCTTAAATATTTTACTCTACTGATTTATGAAGTTATACAGGTTGTTAAATGTCTTTAATAAAAGTTTTATTGTAATGTTGAGTTAAAGAATAAAGTTTGCGTCATTTACTACTAAATTAATCTTTCAAGTCATCCCTCTGCAAATAACAAAAGTTATGTTGATAATTAAAATATTAGTGTTGCTATACATAATAAACTGGTTTTGTTTTTAAAAGGGACCATTGTTTTATTCAAATTGTTTTTGTTTTACATATTAATTTAATTGTGGATATTTGTCAAAAGTGACACATTTTAGATTATTCAGAATTTCGATTGCTGCAAATAAGAATAGTGACTTTTAGAAGCTTTTCTTGTTTTGCCTTAGGTCACTGTTTTATACCTTTGTCAGGTGCATCAGTCAATCCTTGGAAAATTATGATGCAATAGTTTGGGTATCAGTTGTGCTTTGGGATCTTTCAATGTGTGTATCAATAAAAAGTTTTACAACAAACATCATAGTTGAATGGAATAAGAATAAAAATGGGACAAAGAACGAATGTCATAGTTGTTTTTCATATTTAAATGAAGTATAAGAACTGTATACATTATTTTTATAGAGACCGCATATATTTAAATGACTGCATCCACATCTTTAAATTTTCTCATGAACTAGTTCAAGCAACAAGTTTTTTCACCTTTTGAATTATTCATATTTGACTAGTTTACTGTGTATGTATTCAAGGGATTTTGGTGTGTTTTTGCCCCCCTTCCTCCCTCCCCCCCCCCCCCCACCGAAATCAATCCAGGAATCTTTAGGTTTTTTCAAAGGCAAAATTTATACATACAGTGCTGAATAATATTTTCAAAGAGCTCACTGGCAGTGGTATGCTAGGAAGAATGCATTGTGAATCTTTGGAGATCAAAGAGCTCAGAACAATGTAGATAGTCTAAACACCTGGGACAAATTTTGCAATAACTTGCATCTTATACATTCTGTTCAATTGTATTTCAGAGCAGAATTAGAATCATAATAGAGCACATGAAATTGTAGTGCTAACACAATCACTGCTGCTGTTAGCTGCCCTGGACTGCTCAAATGTATTCTGTTATCTCAATTTTTGACTACATTGGTGACTGCTGAAAAGTGCATTTTCCCACTGAGATTCTGTGAAATCATAGGTGCTGGAACTAGGGGTGCTGCTGCACCTCCGGGCTTGAAGTGGTTTCCATCATATACAGGGTTTACCGTTTGTTCAATGACTCTCAGCACCCTCACTATACAAATTGTTCCAGCACCCCTGGGTGAAATCCATCTTTATAAGAGACTGTGTATTGTAATGTTGATTTCAAACATAGTCTTGTATATCCCTCCCTGAAAGGAATTTCACTGAGACTCCCTCCGTTACATATTAAATTATTCTTTTGTTGAAAAAACTCAAGTTATCTCTGGTTAGAAGCTGACATTCTTATGTCAGCATTGATATCTATGTTGATGACTTATGATAAAGAAATAAAATGTACATACAGCAGATTCCTTTTTAATTAATGCCATTCAAAAACCTATATATCACTACATTAGTGGTGGGTTAATTAAGGCTGGTGTGAAGGCCGACATAAAGTTGCTATTGCATATCAACATGGATAATTGACATATTAAATTTGCTTGAGACATTATGCAAAAATGATTCATATATTAAAATTTGCATATGTAAAATACCATTTAAATTTATTCATTTTCTTTCCTATATGTACAGAGTTTCAGAAAATTATAAACAGAAGTTGAGAAATATTTGTAGTTTTCAGTTGATTGTTCACAATAATGATTGATGCAGCTAAAGTTTGCTTCTAAAATATGGCTATAGTGACTTCTATCAACTGTACTTATTAAAGTTTTAGGTAGTAAAATCAATTAAATAATTCACTTTTGGGGTTTCAGCCCTGCACTGCTCCTGTCTTCACCCGCTTCAGCTCTGCTTGGGGCATTGGGTTTCAGCGGTGGGACTCGGGGCCGCAGACCACTGGTTGAGAATCGCTGCTATATGGGACATTGACTTCTTAACTTGTTCTTCAGAGAACTCCTTTTCTTTTAAATAAAGCAGCATGCAGTTCTTTCTCTGTGACCTTCAGTAAAGCCACACAGGAAACTCTTTAGTACAAAAATGAAAAGTACTAATCAATGGAGGTATGGAACAATTTGACCCAAATCAGTAGAGAGAAAAATCCTGGTTTATAATGGATAAAAACCTATATAAATATACAATACAGACACTCCCCGACTTACACAATCATTCCGTTCCAGAAAGCCTTGCGTAACCCAAATTTTACATAAGTTGGAAACGTATATTGTGCAAGCATAAAAAACCAAACATTTATAACATTTTCTGCTCTAAATCAATCTTCTTTCACTAATGAACTGGTCCTGCACTCTTGCTATCACTTGGTCGTTTTCCTGGCATGATTTGAATGAAATAATAGGGTGAAATAACAGAAATACAGTATCACTGAAATAACACGAGGCTGTGAGAGTGCAAAGCCTTCCCTTGTAGGAGATGCTACTGCTGTATTCCTCCGCACACCGCACTACAGTACAGTACTTTGCATTTCTGTACACTATGCAATATTTTCCACAACTTTAAAATTTTATTTATGCCTTATGGAACTTTTTGCGTAAGGTCAAATTTGCGTAAGTTGGGTCTTGCATAACCTGGAGAGTGTCTGTACACATGCGTGTGTGTGTATATATCTGTTGTCTGTTCTGTATGATATAGGTGGGATTGGTAACATCACTTTTTAAGGTTGCCTGATGCTTCCTGTT